TTATCGTACGATAATCGTGCAGTGTATGGGCACCTTTAGCGCATTGTGTTTGTCTATTGTTGTGACTTAGATGAGAATCAGATCACATTTTATGGCGAATTACTGCAGAAAACTAGTTCATTCCAAGGGGTTCCCATACTTTTTCTTGCCACTGTACTAATTATAATTGCATAGAGCTTTTTCATGCTTGTGGGTAATATCAGTGCAGTATATGGAATTCATGGCTAATGAGTTAATATAAAAAATTTACTTTATAAGGTAGCAGAGACTAACATAGAAAGCATTTAAGCATTTATTTAAATACACATGAGAACAATCAGCTATATCCAACATTTAAACATCCTTGAAAAACAAACCAAAATAAAGTTTATATAACTACACATTTACAAGAAGGATTTAGACTGAACAAATGTTTGCATTACGGAACAAAGATATATATCAGACTTGCAATGACCTTCACCGTCTCTAATAACTTTTTTTATTCCTATAAATTAACAGTGTCAGTTGACCACCCAAAAAGCGATACATCCTGCCCCTTCTGGTGGTATTCCATTGTATTGTTTGCACTTTTTCAGCCTCAAATCCTCAAGGAAGTTCTTATAGAGAATTATAAATAGAAAATCAGCGTGGGTTTAGCCACTTTATTCCAGGTGAGCGAGAAGATTTCTCCTTGGCAAGTTCTTGCTTGACACTGTTTCCATCTCCAGAAGCCATCTCAGAATCTAAAATTAATAAAAACAAAGTTTAACTTTTTTCTCGAATATTTGGCAATTGTTTGAAGGCTCAAAGCTTGATATGTACAAAACTGTGTGATTTGCTTTAAGCTGACACTAACCTCAGGAGTTAAATCTTAAAAATGCATTCAAGTACCATATTAACAAAAATGTAGCTTATTTGTGTCACTCTGCTGTAGATCATCAATGAATTGGTGCTGATACGGTCCTTCCTTTTGGGGAGCGGCTACTTTGGTTCCCTATGGTCCTGTGTGTTTTGTAAAGTAACCACCATTCCAAGCTCACTCCTGTGACTAAACCACCATTCCAAGCTCACTCCTGTGACTAAAATGTCATGTTTATGTAGTCTTCCGGGAGCGAGCTTTGAGAGGTGGCTACTTAAAGTGACATTAAAGGCAAAACCTTTTTCCACCCCCCCTCCCAGTGCTAATGTAAGGACTTACCTTAAATGATGCCTCCTTATCCGATTATCCTCTTCTTTCCTGTAGTTTTCAGGAGTTCCTCCAGCGCTGGTGCCGTTCTCAGATCCAGCGCTGACTGTTCTGTCTTCCTGGCACTTCCTGTCCCACAAAGTCTGTGCTGGTGCACGCTGCCTGCATTCACTTACCTTGCGTTTCCCGGCCGAAGATCTGAACTGTGCATGCACAAGTAAATTTGAACCCTTTTTGTAAACTTTTTTTTTTTTTTACATGTTTTTGCATATATCTACTGCTTGCTAGCAGTAGATATATGCAAAAAAACGTGAGGGTTTAATTATCCTTTAACAACACACACTGGGACTATGGGGAACAAAACTAGCCACCCTATAGATTAGAAGGAAGGACAGTGTCAGAATGAATTCAGAGATGATTTGAGGATCTACAGCCAAGTGATACACAAATAGGATACATTTTTTTAATCGTTAAGGCATTTGAAAAACAGTTTCATGAATTTTGCTTGACTTTTGTAAACTTTGTGGCAAACCCCATTCAAGTCCATGGTGGGGTGAATCTTATTATTCCATTCTGCCTGTTTGTTAGCTAATAAGCAATTTATTGTCAAACAAAAGACATGGGCAGCCAAGCACTGCCATGGAGGACATGAACCAATGCCCCCAAAAATGTAATAAAAATAATTAAAAAAATGATCTCTCCCTGCACAGCTTTCCCTCAAATTTCCAACACACTCTGACAATATGGCTGCTATTCCTTCATTATTGGCTCTTGTGACTCAGTGGACAAGGGAAAAGGCTGTGCACTGCTTCATAGGCATTCCTTATTTCTGATGGTGAACCTGTAGCCTTTTGCAAACTTCGTAAATATTGGCATTTAGCTAATGATCAATAAGCCATTATGGTAATTATAAATATATCTAACCACCAAATGATTGCCTTTCTTTTTTTCTTTAAATGATTAGTGCAGAAATATTGTTTATATTGTCTATTCAGCCATGTCCATTCAGTAAAAGAGGCGAAGGGCGAAGAGTTTGGTGAAGGCAGGAGAAGTGAACAATCTATGACAACATGCTAGAAAAAAGGAATGAAACGATCTACAGAAGATCAGATCAAAGGCAGTAGAAAAAGGGTCGGAATGCCAACTGTAGTACAAAAATATAAATTTGTATTTATCATATTTTAAAATACGGGTCAAAAACACAGACCAGCAATCCACCACCAAAAAACCCAGGGTTAAAAAACAGTTAATGATCAAAGACACACTCACTACAAAGACAGACAACCATGGACCAGCTGATTAATGTGAGCATATGAACCAGTGTAGCTCTAGAGATAAGGCTGACAGCGCTGAATGAAAGGAGATGTTACAATATCGCAAAGAACACAACATTTTCTGCTGAAGGCAAAGTATCCTTTCCAAGTAATATGGAAGTAATATGCGTTATGTGCAATGATGTTGCTAAATAGCTTTCTTTAAAGGAGAACTATGGGGTCAGTGTTTTTCCCCATAGTTCTCCTTAGATTTCAGTTGACATCCCCAGTTTCGCAAATCAGCTTATCTGCAAGTTGTTACTTTGAACTAGAAGACCTGGAATACTACAGCCATCTGAGACGAACGGGCCCGGAACTACATGGTGCATATGAGTACTCATATGTTGGACTTTTAAATGGTACACTTGGAGATTTACTACTGCTGTGCTCACACACAAGGAGACCATTAATCTTTACATTTACGGGACGTTATCACAGCAAACAGAGCTGTTTCTACACAAGGATCTCTGTATCCTATTTCCAGCAGTATGCAATCAACTGAAACATTAAAGAAAGCTGTTTTTCAATCTATGACAACATAGCTGAACTGGAAAGTGAGCTGAATCAGGGAATGTTAACAAATCAACTATTTTGCCCTATATTGCTAAAATAATTAACCCTTTTGTGAATAGCTATGATAGACATGACTACCATTAGCTCAATCTTCAGGACATCTATAACAAATAAACTGAAACAAAGTGTAGGCTGTTTTGTTCATTGGACTAAGCGCATACAGTAAATGGCAGCAGCAAAAACACAGCAGATTTCACTAAAACATAATAAATTCCTCTCATGACAATGGCTGCAAATTAACATTTCTTGCTTCATTTTCAAATGCAGCAAATTGCATGAGCAAGAGACAATTCATTGAGGTGAATTTATTAACACTTGACCAGACAAAATCCGAAGGCAACCAATCAGCTTCTAGCTTTCATTTTCAAAACTTAACTGAACAAGTTAGAGTTAGAAGCTGATTGGTTATAGTGCACAGATGCTCCAGATCCTCTATGCTCCAGTTTTAGTAAATCCCCTCATTATTTTTAAGGCATCTGTCCACACCAAAGAGTTTCGTGGCAGTGCATAAAAAGCTTTTTGGGTACGTTGACCTGCAATTAAAATGAAATGTGTAATTCAAGGCTCAGCAATGCAATCTGCTTTAAGACCTTATTCAGGTAAACCAAACTTAAGTAAGAACATGTAAAATTGTTTCTGTGTGTTTATAAAGCTTGCTACATGATAACAATGATAACAAAAAAATAAATCACAGTAACTAGACATTAATGCATTGGTAGCCATATTGCATATTCATCAGTGTTTTGGTAAATCTTGGCAATCCCACCTATTAACATAATGTGTGTGTCTGTCATGGTGGATCATATTTGCATTAAAAAATCTGGTTTATGTACGTTGTGGAACTTTGGCAGCCCATTCAAAGTGAATAGGCTTGTTAACGCAACATGTTAAACATGCATTACTGCATACTAAACACGCATGTGTTTCCCCAATGTGCTAGTGTAAATGGGCTGTAACTCCTTTCTAGTTAATCTAAATGTATACTTGATATGTGTGGCTATTTAATACTGGAGAACTGCATGAATCGAAATATATACTATAGAGTTTTAGACACGCACAAAGACATACCGTACAGTGAGGTTTTTTTTTGTACTTTGGAGTTTGGGTAAAAAAATGCATAATTATCTCACCCAGCATCTCATCAGATGATGAAAAATTACACAGAATAGATGTAAGAAAACAAGAAATGATGTGCTCAGTTAATGTTTTTTTTACTGAGTCTCTGTCGTCCTTATTCAAGTATTACAAAGCAGCCCTAATGTACTGCAAATCTTTGATTTGCATTTTAATACATTTCCTCAGAAATACTGAAAGCTTTCAGTCTGAATCCATAACAGGCCTGGAATGACAAAATGACAGCTGTGCTGTTTAAGAGAGAGAGTGAAATACACCAGGTCTCTGCATGTCAGCCCTTTCTACTGCTTGCCTTCAATCACTCTTCAGACTTCTCCACTCCCAGTTCATCAACATGACTGTCATGGTTTGAAATATCATTCACAGCAATCTAGACATTTATTTGTTTCCTGTAAAATCTAGGATTGGCCATAATAATGAGACGCCATCACTTTTTCCAAACACAGTTGTTGCAGATCACCTGTGCTGCATACAGCGTTGTAACCTTGAAATTATTATCAGAGATGAAACGGATAGCGCCATGTTACTTCAAAGGGTTAAATGCAAAATCACTACTTATGTGATGATATGTGATGTTAGGGATGTTGGAATTGTTCAAAATTTGAGCCACATATATCCACCGTTAGGCAGGCTGGGTGTGACAGTGAAGAGGTGCCGAGGGAGTGAGTATCAGTGAGCTCAGTGAGTATTAAATCCTGGGGTAGCGGGCTATCTGCAGACAGTGTCCCTGTTTAGATAAAGTGTTAAATGGAAGACCACCAGCACTCACAGGAGTAAGAGTTTAAATCCTTGTTCTTTTTGCTGAAATCTTGTCACGTGTCACATAAGCCAATGTTTCAGGGCCACGCAGGTTCCCTTCTGTAGGATGACATAGTGATGGGACCCTGTGTGGCCCCACAAAATGTTGGCTTATGTGACACATGTGATGAGATTTCAATTAAAAAAAAACAAGAATGTAGCAGTTTACTCCCGTGAGTGCTGGTGGTCTTCCATTTAACACTTTATCCAAACAGCGACACTGCTGGCAGATAGCTGAATGCCCCAGGCTATAATACTGACTGAGCTCACTGATACTCACTCCCTTGGCATCTCCCCACTGTCACAGCCAGCCTGTCTAATGCTGGATATACATGGCTCAAATATTGGGCAATTCCGACATCACCAGGCTCAACAAACATGGATTAAAAAAATCTAAGGAGCAGGGCAAATAAAAGCTGGCTGAACAGTGACTGCAGCCAATCAGCAGAAGTCGCTAATTGGGTATTTATAGAGCTAAAGGTATTGGCTGTTAGAATACAGTAGCCAGCAGGGGCGATTCATACATCCTCGCTGTTTAGCCTGGATGGTGGGAATACAATGATTTCTTTCATTCAGACTAGTGCGTTTTATGTGTATGGTCGACTTAAGCTCCGCTGTCAGTTGGTGACAGAGCTTAGACAGAGGGGAGATGTCATGTAATCCTCACATGTAACATTGTACAGACACTGTCATTGGCCACTTACAAACAATGTCACACAAGGGAGTTTGATGGTAACTTTGATGGTAAGCCAGCATCAGAGCATGGCTGGGCAAATACAATTTCCTGGGGGTTATTTGCACGCACTGAAGAGAATTCATAAAAAATTGAAGCAGACAGAATTTGGACCAGTTGCCCATGGCAACCAATCAACCTCTCCTTTTGCTTTGTTCATCTAAGATTTGAAAATTAAAGACAAAATCTGATTGGTTGCCATTGACACCTGCTCCAGATTCTGTCTGCTCCAGTTGTTATGAATTCCCCTTTGTGTCACAGGGTCTTTTTTAGCACCACCTTTAATTCCATAATATAAACAGTATCCAGAACATTGAAAAGGAATCTTACCAGGATTAGGCTTTAGTTTACTAGCTGGTTTGGCTCCTGTAAATTGGATGAATGGAAATTTCAGACACTTTCCTGTCACACGATCACAAATTCCAGATGGACAATTGCAGGTTCCTCTGCATTCCATTCCGTAGGTGCCATATGGACATTCTGTAACATAAAATGAAACAAATAGAATCATTACAATCTTATTTTTTTATATATTTAATACAAAGAGCAGGACATCAGTACCAAAGTACCAAAGGCATTGAAGCAGCAAGCATGACGGCCAGCGAACCAGTACTTTCAGTGCAAAAGCTCAGCAATGGCAGCTTTCATACTATCTCTTTAAAGGATAGTTGGTGTTAAATGGAACATTCCAGTTCCAGCATGATCACTTAATCCAGTTATATATTTATTTAAAACAAATTTAAATGTATTATTTATTTATTACATTTTTTATATTTTCAGGATGTTTACACTCATAAATAGTTTGTTAGACATATTTTAATTGAAAACAGATATATGTTCTGAGAGTATTACTTGGATGTAATAATCCAGGAACAGTACAGAACAAGATTTCCTTAAAATAAAATTTTACGGGTTATTCACAAAAGAGTGAAGAGTTTGGAGAAGGCAGGAGAAGTGAACAATCTAGGACAACATAGCTGAACTGCAAAGTGAGCTGAATTGGAGAATTGTTCCAAATCAGCTATTTTGGCCTAGATTGTTCACTTCTCCTGCCTTCCCCAAACGCTTCACCCTTTTGTCAATAACCCTGTCAATTTCTTTCAAAGTTTTGTATTCTTAGTACCATGATAAATATCAGGTGGAAATGAATCGAAGGTTATTAATACTTTTTGCACTTATTGTAAAGGCCTGAAAATGGATACGTAGAGAGAAAAAAAGACGGGACGAGGTCTAATAATAATAGCTGCTTGCCTGTCATACTGTCATATTTAGACAAAATGTCCTTATCATAAAGTTTAGCTTTTAAAAAAAAAAAAATCATTACATAATGCATATTTGATCATCTCAAGTGTTTTAGTTAAAGGAATATGCCAAAAATAGCACTTTTTGTGAGAATCTCTTATCCAGTGTCAATGCTAGCCCTAGGCATCCAGGGTAAAAACTATGGGTCTTCTTCTAGGCGCCCTAGGTTTTAAGCCTACAATTGCTGTTATATTTCTTTGCTGTGAATGCCAGATATGTATAATGTATATGAAAGCCACAAGCTGTAATATAAGTTAATAGGTCAAATATTACCGCTTAAGGCTTTTTTACCTGCACAAACTAGCTGTGGGTGCTGTGCCTGCTATAGGGACTTGTTCCTTCAGATTGTGTCAGCATTCAACTGAGCTTTATTGTTCAGAACAGCTCATATTTCCCCCCAAAATGTGCTCTAACCCCTGATACAATTCACCATAGTATCACAGTGATTAATCATAAAGGGTGAGGGGATTATAGAAGGGTTGGGGAATTTATAAGCATATATTATTATAACAGGCACATATTTAAAGTCACAGTGGGAGCAGTAATGTAGGTAGAGATTGTGCCGCTATGTCCTGCTGTATAGGTGATTTAGTGTAATGTAATGTACTGCCTGTTGGCAATTCTCCCATTTTTACCATCACTAATTAAATGTAGGCACACCCACAATGCACCACAGGGTGGCACTTTTACATTTCCCTAAGGTATCTACAAACCTCAAGGTGTCCTGGGTATGTTAGGATGGTAGCAATCCCCCTGCAGACAATGAATGGTCTTCTGTGACCATAGCCTTAGATCATAGGGTAAGGGTTATAAAGACAGGTCTCTTGTCACAATCAAGTGCCCTACCTTTATAATGAAAATTATATAGTACTGTACAGCAGAATCCCAGACAAGCAGCTAAATGCATTGGATTTTTACTCCCACGACTGCCTTTTGTGAACCAAATAGCACAAACAGTTCCTTAAAGAGACACTGTCACCTTGACCATGCAGGGCACAGTGACATGAAAACTGCAAAGGGCCACCCCAACCCACCATATACTCACCTTGCTTGAGCACACTGCTCCTTACTTGCAGATGTCAATAATACTCAGTGCTTCAAAGTATAGGGGAACATTTGACCTCCTTCCCCTACGGCTTGGGCCTACCAGTCAATCGCTAGAAAAGAGCATGGATATATGGCCGTGGGAGTGACATCACTGTTCCCCCCGGGTTGTTGACACAGCTGGTTTCAGTGCCTTCTCTGATGAAGCAATGAGGGAGTGCAGGCAAGTAGAGTATTAGGGAGTCAGCAGACCCATTTGCAGGGACACTGTCACTTGAGCAAGGTAACAGTGTCCCCTTAACCTCAAGAACACAGCAGCAAACTGCTGATTGGACAATGAAGGAGAAATAGCACACTGCTCTCTCTAAGGTTGCCACCTTTTCTATCAGCAAAACCCGAATACTTTAAGCGACACACGGAAATGTTTTGGCGAGAATGAGTCACGGCTTATTCATATATAAATAGCGCCACCCATTCATGAGTAAATATCACAGTCAAGACTATTTTCAGTGGGCGGGGGCAGTAGCCCCTATCTTAATTTTGGTTGCCCCTGTCTGCCTGACATCATGTGTCCGGGTCTCATCTGCCATGACACCCGGAAACATCATTCAAAACCCGGAGTGTACGGGTGAATCCCGGACAGGTGGCAACTCTAGCTCTCTCCTTTAGCCAACAAATCACTGTCAAGATTTGTGCTGATCCTTACTCTCCCAGTCTGAGCATTACTATGCAGGGGACAAAAAAAGATGATATTAACATTAATTACAATGCTTGTGCTTGTGTCAGCTGTATTTAAATTGCATTAGCTGAAATCTTTATTTAAAATCTGCCTGCATGTTAGACACAGCAGGCTAGATGTTGTTAATTTAGAGACATAATTTTCCTTGCTCTTTTGTAGAAATTGTATATGGGATTATTTAAAATATAACCTATATCCATAGCAGATATCCTATAAATGACTAGAAACTACTGCTGATGGTTACAGTCCAGTTTTGGAGAATTATATACGGTCTATAAGACTGCGTTAATTAATTTTTTGGGGCAATGATACTTAGCATTGGATGTTAAATGCAGATTCCAGATTAACTTCATGTCTTCTCAGAATGAAAAGACTATGTTATTCAAAAGTTAAATGAAAGCAATTATATGACTGTCAAGAGACACTAAGCTTAACCTCAAAATGATTTATATGTTACATGAATATGGATCAACAATGTGATACAATAAAAAATAATCCTTTCAGGAATGAGTGGGGAAGAATGGCAATATGGAAATAATTAAACAGATAAATATTGTTGGAACTGAGTTTCAAGTTAAGCAATAGTTGGATTCCTTCAGTCCTTAAATGTGCTCAGAAATTATCTTTCCAATTGCACAGCCTATGCAGTTTAATGTTCATGGATTTTAGGTTTTAATAAATCCCAATAGTAAAAAAATGTTTTATGATGTGTGCCTTAAGAGGACCTATCATTAACTCTGCATCTTTAAATCTGCATCAACAAATTCATCACATTTATGTATATACTGTATGTATAAACAGCAACGTTCACACTGAGGGAACGTTTACAACATCCAGTGTGTTCATTACTCTTTTTTTGCGATTGAACTGCACTGGAACACAGGGCATTGCGGTACCACGTGTTTCGGTGTGGGCAATCACACTGCAGGCAGGCAGAATGGCACCACCATGCCCCCTCCTGCCCCAGATCGCAGAGAGGCGTTGTTTATGCGATCCATTGTGTTCATCCTATGAGGACTGTGTGATGAATGCAGTATGTCGTGTGAACAGGCCCTCAATCTTTTATTATTAGCAAGACACAGAGCTCCAGTAAAGGCATGGTGACTAGGCTATGAGGAGCATTTTAGGAGTCTACTGAAGGCAAGTAGAAGCAGTTTTGTGAGACAGCTAGTATACACACAGCAAGTAACATGAAAAGTTGAACTGCGGCCAGGCTATGGACTTTCAAAACTGTTAACAAGCAGTATCTAAGCTTAACAAATCCTCACTGACCTTTGTAGCTGCAAGAATTGTGGATCAATTAATTCCCAAAGTTCACAGCAGAAAGTGCTTTTAGTTGTATTTCTCCTGCTCAGCTCACTCCCTTTCCCCATTCCAACAGTGATCTGGCAGTCTGTCAGTCTTCAAACCTAAGCGATTGGAAGCACACTTCCAGCAGTGCGACAACCCTCTGCATGAGATTTCCAATTAATTTAATGGGGCCTATTCACATCTGAGTGATGTGCTGCCATTTTGTTGGCTAAAGGAGTTTCTTTGGCACAGGAAAGCACACCCAATAGACTTTACTGGGGGAACTTGAAATTTTTATTCACATCATGGATAACAACCAACTCTTCTTCCTAGTAACCTGTTTTTGAATGGCCTGAACTAAAATGCTTTAACAAGTGAAAAATGCATGTAAAAATCACACCATAATAAGCTAATGCTTATGTGCTTGTGAGTCTTTAGTGCTTCTTCTGTGAACTTTATTACATCCTCTGCTGCAATGATGACTTCCACCCCTCTCCTGATTCCTATTGCCACCATATGCAGGCACTGTGTGAGTTTGGACTACAGCATAGCAAGATAACCCCATTCATCCACATTGGCACAGTCCCCTGACGACATTAATGTCATTCATCTTATGACAAACACTACCCAGTCCCTCCTAATCACACCCAGCTAGATCCTTCACTGTTCTATTATTTACATGCCCACATATCACACCCAAAGGCCACTTCCTCAAAGAAGTCCCACTACAAGAAGAAATGGGGTATTTTTCTTTTTAACTTTCTCTAGAGCTCCCGTATAGAAAGGGGAAGCATCAGATAGCTCTACCCTCCACATCGTTCAGTCTCAGGCAGAGGCAGCACAAATGGGAATTATAAGCATGATATATTGCAAAAGCAATTGGATTTAGCAAAATGTGCATGATGTTATTTAGTTCCACTACAGAATGTTGTGCTTGTGCATGTATAAATTGACTGACAGGCATTGAAACATTAGTTAACCTTGTAAGGATGAATTGCTACACAGTGTCTGCAGTTACATAAGTCATTGAAGGTCTACTCTAAATTATTTTTACTGCTTGTTAAGAATACAGTATTTAACTTGAATGTCCATAGAGTGGCCGCAG